CTGGCTGTTTGTTTTGTAAGAGCCAAAACTCCTGGGTAGGATTTGGTATAATTGTGCAAGTGGATGAACTTGAAGAGCTCACCTTAGCAGTTTTTATCAGTAACTAGCAATCACCTGCAATGTATCATGGTATCTGTATTTTATCCAATGGAAGTGTCATTTAAATCAATTTAATTAGGTTGGAATTAAGATCCCGTGGGAACACACATCTTTTAAAGATATCATTCCAGGCAAGCAGTAGCTTCAGACCAGAACTGCTGCACTGGTTAAATTAATGTATTTTTGGTTACTGTTACAATCTTATAGGATGAGAGAGGTTTTAAAACAAAAAGCGTAGTCTGTAAAGCATAATGACATGATAGTTTTTTAATAAATTGGCATAGGTATGTACTTATATCTCCCTACTAGTATGCTGTGCCAGATTCCTTTTGTCTTTTGGGGCAGGTGGATTGGTGAGAAATACTACTTGTTATTAAATTTCCAACTACAAAGGAGAATCATGCTTTTCTGTAGCAGAACATCTAATATTGAGTAATACTAAAATAATTAGAACAAGTTTGGTATCATACTGATTGCAGTAAACAAAGTCTGAAATGGAAAGAAGGTAATTTTCACTCAGAGTGTTGTCATACTGTGCCACACTGAAGGAGGTCCTCTAAGAGGTTGTCCCAGAACATGAGTAGCAGCTCAGCTCAGTGGCTGTAGCGGTATTTGCCATTTGTGTAGTTAAACCCTTTCACCCTAACCTGGATTTTCAGGAACTAACACCCAGATCAAATGGGCTCTTTAAAGATAAGTTATTTTTAAATTGATTTGATGGCTTCCTACTAAGAGTGCTAGGCTTGATAAAACAGCATAATCAGAGAATTGATTAAATTTGCTGATGTTTAGGGTCAAATTCTGTGCTGTTTATGTACTAGGATAAGCTCCCTGCCTTTAGTGGGCAGCTTTTGAGTACATAACAGTAATCACGTTAATATGTATATATTTAAGTCCACCTGTTAAGCTTACAGCTATCAGAACCGTAAAATCTGATGATCTTCAGTTAATGAGATAAAAATATAATATAGATACATCTAAAATAAAAATTGAGTTCTAATTGTATCAGTCACTCCATCTATTTTTGTGTGGTGCATTACAGGAGTTTATTTAACAGGATAGTAACTAAAGCATTTTTATTTTATTTTCTAACATTGTTGTATAGTTTTTGCTTTTAAGCACAGAATAAGAAATACAGAGCATTAAGTAGACATACCAGTAGTACAGCTGGAATAATAATAATTATAGATAAAATCAATATAAATACTTCACCAGTTTAAGTCTGAAGTTATTTCACAAATAATGTAAGCAAATTTAGATTTACTATATTATTTAGCACATTTTCTCTCTTTAACTTTTCCCATGATAAAATCAGAAACTTTTTTTCCAAATCATTCTGCTATCTTACTGCAAATTCTGTCTTTAAAGACTGTTAGCTGTCACAGAAATGCATTTTACTTCATTACTTACTCCTTGGTCTAGAATATATTCTTTTAAAAGCTTCCTGTTGCAGTACAATTTATAAAAATAATGGTGTGAACATTAAGATAGATCAACTGGTGGCATTTTAAGCTCAGTACCAAAGATTCTATCCCAGGTTAAGTGATAGAAATTAATGAGACAGGAGACCTGGAAACAAGTCTGCACAAAAGCCAAGGATGGAGCTGAATCAGCAGCTACTGGGAACCACTGGGCAGGGATATCTAAGGGAATGGTGCTGTGTAAATCACTACACAGCACTGGTTTTGACACATTAATGTTACCATTTAATATACATAATAATCCTAAACATGGCTGCAGCAAATACTGAGGTATTTTGCAATGGCACAACAACATGGGAGGAATAATTGTGTAATGCTGATGAAAGTGAAGTAATCAATTTGTAATCATGCTTTCCTGTAAACTCACTTTTAATATTACATTTGGTAAATACAGGCATTATGTCCAAAAAGCATGTGTCTCCTTCTGTAGACATGACTGACAAGCCCTATGAGCAATGTGCTTCCAAAACAAGTATGACTCAACACCTTTGGGTCGGTAACTCACACAAATCACACTGAATGTTCTGAGTTGGAAGGGACCGACAAGGATCCGTCAATTCCAGCTCTCAAGTGAATGGCCCATATGGGAATTAAACCCAGGACCTTGGTGTTATTACCACGACGCTCTAAAAAAAAGATGAAGAATGGTTTTTGGTAATGTTCCTAAGGAGTATTTTAGAGAAAGTAACAATTCACATGCTGGAGAAAGAAAAATCAAAATGGGGTTTCTAAAAATCTATATGCTGTGTAATAATTGTGCCTTCTTGTAGGATATACACAGTTACTCGAACTAGTTGATTACATTGCTACACTTAAGCAAATTTGTTATATAAAAAAATGAACACATTCTTGAAATTTACAGTTTTACCAGACTAGCGTGTCTTTCAGGGTGAGCATTGTGGGAGCTACTTGTGACATAAGAGAAAAACTAAGTATGAGATTTGCAGAACTAACAAAAATCCCTTTTTGTTTAATTTCACAAAGATGGAATAAGAGATGTAGGGATGTTCACAGCTAGCATAATGTGAAGTGTATTTTCACATAGGCCAGTACAATGTTCTCAGTAGAAGTTACTACTTAATAAAATGGGGGGGGGGGGGGGGGGGGGCGTGTCTCCAGATCTAAGTTGACCCTGCAGGTAGTTTTAAACCTCCCAGCAGGGATTCTCTTACCTGAAGTTTGCTAGTTAACCAAGGAAATTATGTCAGTTTACTTAAAACCATTTAATGCTGAGCTATGGGCATGATACGTTTTGGTGAGGTATATCAACATTTTTAACTCAAAACATGCAGAGGCCCCATTTAATTTCTCTTTGAACTGGCTTGCTCCAGAGCTAGCCAGCAACACTGAGATTGCTAGAATGAGTTGTTTTCTTGTCCCATTCTTGAGGTAACACATTTTCTGTGGTATTTTTTCCTTTTCCTTGTGGGATTGATCTGTACTGTTGAAGTCAATGAATGTGTATGATGACTTAGATGTAGTGTTGAGAAATTACTTCTTTCTCCACTGAAATGATTTGTGAGACAAATTACAAAAACTGTTTATCACACACTGTTGAAACCCAGTTTGAGTAAGAAATCATGGATTGTCTCATAACACTGGAAGCTATCCACAAGCTTAAGTTTGGTGTGAACTTTGGAAAACAGTTGTAGAAGCTAAAAGGTGAAGGGAAGTCTTTTAAGCATAAATTATTTTATACACATTTAAGTTATATATCAATATGTAATGCTTTATATCTGTATACACACACAGACACACACACACACAGAGCAGATAGCTCCACACTGGACAATCCAGATCATGACCTTTATCACAACTTGAAAAAGTTGTCAAATATGATTATGTCAGGCAGTAATCTTTCACAGTGGTGCATTTTGTTAGCTGTGTGTGCTAGTGACATCAAGCACTATGGTGTGTAGTCCCTGTCCTAGGATAAGCCCACCAGAAAAAAACCCATGTAACTCCCATGGGGTGAAAACAAGAGCATCATTCAAACAAGGAAGACTTTGTGTCTGTGCTCTTCTGCTTGCACAATGGCTTTTATCTGCCTGGAGAGAAGATTGCTGAAAAATGCATAAGCACTCCCCTGATCTGGTGGCTCCTGTGAAAACAAGCAGCCTAACTGGCAGTAGGGCAGACTCTGTAGGTATGCTATAGCTCATGAAATAGCTCATGAAATATTATTGAGAAAAATAATTTCTAGAGGGAAGGAGCCCGCCATTTTTTCCAACCCTTTTTTGACTCCTGTAGCTACCAAAATCTTTCTAGAATAATCCAAGACATAATAGCATCTTATAGTCTATACAGATGTCATATACACACTGACTCTGAACATCTTCTAGGACTTAATTTTGAAGCATGAGATGCCATCTCATCATTGAGAGGCAGATGAAAAACAGAATGGTTTGAGTGATTGCTTATTTCTATAATAGTGTGATATACACCTCCTCATCAAGAGGCATATAACATCAATTGGGGATGGATGCTGGTGTCACACAATGCAGAAAATGAGGCTGCAAAACCCACTGGGATTGAGGGTTGGAGCTCAGGATAAAGTGACATTAATAGCACTTCTCCCTCCCTGATTGAACCTTTCCCCAATACTCAGGCTCTGAGGTTACATCTTCATTTCACATGTAAATGTTCTATCCACTAAGTCCAACTGAGAGAAGGCCATGTACACTGCACACAGCAGATCCAGCAGCTGCCGAATTGTGCTCTGTCCAGCACTAGCCCCTCCTTCTCCATAGCTCAGCTGCCTCACACTAAAATCAGCATCACGCAGGGCCAGAGATTTGTGAATCTGGGGGTACACACGGAGCTCAGGCGCGGCACAACCTCAAGTACAGACCTGCCACTGGAGGCGGGCGGAGGGAACAGTGAGCTGCGGGACGGCTTGGTCAGGAAGTGTCACCACACACCTGTGTCACCACACACCTGTGTCACCACACACCTGTGTCACCACACACGGTATCTGGTGATCACAAATGCAACTTCCCTGGCATCCCGGTTAAGATTTGCCTCATCCGGCCGGACACCCGGCCGGGGAAGGGGGCAGAATGACAGCACCTGTCCAGCTGTGCACATGCAGGGGAGGGGACACAACCTCCACGCTACAGCGGGATGAAGGAAGGCCCGAGAGCCCCGACCTCTGCAGGGCCCCGCCAGCCGCAGGGCCCCGCCAGCCACAGGGACACCGCAGCGGGCCTAGCAGCTTCCGGCGCGGCCGCGGGCGGGACGGGAGAGGATGAGGAGCAGGCTGGGAGGTGGAGGCGTGTCCCGGGATACCCGCGGGTACCGGGAGCCGGGACAGGCCCGGCGGGAGGGGGCTGTGGACCACGCTCCACCACGGCGGGAAAGGGCGGGGAAAGGAAGGTCGCTACCGCGCATGCGCGCTGGCCGCCCGCCTCTCACCATTACCTGCGAGCCGCCAGGCGCCGTCGCCTTCTTTTTCTTGGCGGGGCCGCCGCCGGTGCCCGGGCTTGCCGGGCGCTTCTTGCTGCGGGATGCGGCGCCGGCGGGAGACGAGGCGGCGGCGGGGACCACAGTCGCCATGCCGCCGCGCCCGGGCCGGGAGCGCTACCCGTCCCAGGCAACTGTGGCGGTGCTGCGGCCGCGCATGCGCAGTGGCGGCGGCGCGGCTGTCACCCCCCGGCCGGGCCTGGTCGGGGAGGCTGAGGGCGAGTGGGGTTCGGCCGGCGCTTGTGAGGCTTCGAGCTCGGAGCGGCCGCGCCTGGGGCGAGTCTCGTAGAAAGCAGCTCTGCCGGCTCCTCGTTGCCCTGCGCTGTCGCGGGCCCCTGCTCAGAGACCTGGCTGCGGTGGCAGCTTCGGCCCCGGGGTAGCCCGTGTGCGTGGGAGATAGCGAAGTGCGTCGAGGTGTGGGGTTTCTCATCGTAGAGGGTGAGCGGGACTGGAAAAGGTGCTGGGTCTGAGTAATTTCTAGCACAAAGGCCTTTGCAGCAGGAGGTGAGCAACGAGAGCAGCGGGAGCGGCTGAACAGAGGCTGTAGTTTGGGATATGGGGCCCTCTCCCCGCCCGGTGCCAGCGCTGGAGCGCTGTGTGCTCCATGTAAACACTGCGCTGTGCCTGCGGGCCTGTCTTAAGCCTGAGTAAGGAGAGATAAAGTTTATGTGAAAGGCACTCATAAGATGAGAATGGTGTGCAAATCTCAGATGTGTCCAGTTTTTTCCAGTTGGCTTGATTAAATCCAGGGGCTTTTAACTGCTCCCTTCAGCTCTCAGATGGTGAACTTTGACAAGCAGAGCCAGCACTCAGTGTGATCGGCCACACTGAGCTGCAATAAGTCCCTCAAAGGAGGCTGTAGTGAGATGGGATCTGTCTCTTCCACCATGACTGCAGTGAGAGGAAATGGCTTTAAGATGAGACAGGGGAGATTGAGATTAGCTATTAGAAGAAAAAAATCCACTGTTAGGGTGGTCAGACATTGGAATAGGCATCCCAGGGAAGTGGTGGAGTCACCATCCCTAGAGATGTTTAAGAAGTGCTTGAATCTGGCACTGGGTGATGTGGTTTAGGGGTTACAGAGATGATGCCTGGCTGACAGTTGGACTTAATGATATTAAAGATCTCTTCCAACCTTGACAATTCTATGATTTTAACTGTGACCTTTCAAAATGCAAGTTATTATAGTTAGCATTAAAAATTTCAGACTATAGCCACAGCTGCCTGATACTGATGCCTGTCTGGGTAATTTGTACTGCTAAAGATTTGGTTGCTTCTACAATGTTTTGGCATGGCTAGTAGCCTGGTCCAGTGATTTTTTTCTCTTGGAATCTGGAATAATTTTGCACTGGAGAGACATACCAGAACAGATTTGAGAGGATTTGGACTGTACTCTGAAGAGTTTTCACAGTCCTCTTACTGTTCGTGCTGTTTCACACCATGCCCCAGAGAACTGGTTGGTGATGAGGTGATGTCACACAGTTCTTAAACTGTTTAATGACTGAGAAAATTCTGAGCTTTGTGCTTGCATGCACCTGCATTCAACATGCTGGTCAACTTATTGCCATGTTTGTTTGAGCTACTTCTATGCAGTGCCAGTCTTCCAGGGTTCCAGCTGCAGCTGCATGAGATCCTGTCCCAAAACATGCCTTGCAGAGCGGCAGAGGTCCAAGAAGCTGATATTCAGGCATAAAAATTAGGTCGCGTTTATAGACGGTGCTGTAATGAGGACTGAGCTTGGGCACAGTGGGGGTGCCAGGCAGTGCTGTGTAAAAACAAAAACTTTGAAGGTGGCCTGAAAGAGAGTTGAAGACAAAAGCCTAGACTTCCAGGCTCTGTTCCAGGTACCTGTATATGTAGCAGAAAAGCAGGATAAGATTTGCTTTGCAGGGGCATAAGCAGGGCCTTGTAGAAACATCCAAGTCCCCATATTCTCCTTCTCCACTGTAGTTGCTGTCTTTCTGTCTGAGTACACAGGCTGCCAGTAGCACCACAAAGCCAACTGGTAAACTGGATTGCATTTGCCCTTAGTGAGTGTTCCAGGCTTGTGTGTGCTCTGCAGTTCGTGTTTCTTCTCGCTTCAGTTGGCAGCATGCTCAAAGTGGTGGCCTAAGTGTGGAATTAGCAGGGGCACTGGGAATCGCAGGGGAGTTGTGTCCCTTGATAAAGCCAGATCTGCTTTGCTGTGTGCTCAAAACATGGATCTTGTCTTAGTCAGCCTTTTCTTGTTCCCAGGGCTGGGTCCCATCCCTTTCCCACGCACATGCTGTGTGCTCAGCTCCCAGGCATGCTCAATTAAATAGGAAGCATACCTTATCACTGGGATGTTTTTACTGAGAGGAACATCTTTAATGCAAGTGAATCATGCAGAGACTTAACATGCTGCATCAGTGAAAGTTTTTGAATAGCGCTTAGCCAAGCATTTTCTTATCTCTACCAATATCAATTGGTTTACTGAAAAATCACAAGGCCCATGTGTATTGCAGCAATAAGTACAACGGAATTTTACACAGTACCAGATGCTGTACCAAATCACAGGATGGGTCAGGCTGAAGGGACCACAGTGGGTCATCTAGTCCAACCTCCCTGCTCAAACAGGGTCATCCCAGAAACATGGCATAGGGTTGTGTCTGGACAGTTCTTGAGTGTCCCCAGTAAGGGAGACCCCACAGCCTCTCTGGGCACCCTGTTCCAGTGCTCAGTCACCTGTACAATTCTTCCTTATATTCAGGTGGAGCTTCCTGGGTATCAGTTTCTCACTGTTACCTCTTGTCCTATTGTTCAGCACCACTGAGCAGAGCCTGGAGCCGTCTTCCTGTCACCCTCCCTTCAGATACTGACAAACATTCATGAGGTCCCCTTTCAGTTGCCCTCAGCTCCCCTCTTTCTGTTTTGTAGAGTCAAAGCTTTGCACAGAGCTCTCAAGTAGAGAAAGAAGCCAGCAGAGAAACACTTTTGCTGCCAAGGTTTTCAACACAGCACCACAATCTGGGTGACAATAAGGGGGCGTACCAAAAGAACATACCTTTCCTGTTCCACACAGCTTCATGCGAATCTTTAGTCCTTGGAAGGACTCTGAGTTGTCTCTTCTCAAGGCTGGACAGACCAAACTCCCTCAGCCTTTCCTCATGAGATGTTGACCCGCTCCAGGAGCTCCATGTTTCTCTTGTACTGAGGAGCCAAGAACTGGACACAGCACCTCAGAGGCAGCCTCAGTAGGGCTGAGTAGAAGGGCCGGATCACCTCCCTTGACCTGCTGACAATGCTTAATGTGCACCTCAGGATCTTTCTGGCTTTCTTGGCCATGGCTCATGGAGAGCTCACTTATGGACAGCTTGTTGTCTGCCAGGACCCCCAGGTCCTTCTCCACAGAGCTGTTTTCCAGCAGCTCAGCCCCCAGCTGTACTGGTGCCTGCGGTTATTCCTCCCCAGCTGCAGGACCCTGCATTTGTCTTTGTTGGGTTTCAGACAGTTCCTCTGCCCATCTCTCCACCCTGCTGAGGTCCCTCTGAAGGGCTGCACAGCCCTCTGGGGTATTGGCCGCTCCTCCCAGCTTTGTTTCATCAGGGAACTTGTTGAGGAGGCCTCTGCCTCTTCATCTGAGTCATTGATGGACAAGTTAAACAGTGCTGGGCCAAGTACTGAATCTTGGAGGACACCACAAGTGACAAGCCTCCAAGTGGACCCTGTGCCATTGATTATGACCCTCTGGGATCTGCTGTTGAACCAGTTCTCAATCCACCTCACTTAAAATCCTGAAACACCCATAACTCTTAGAGAAATAGGACCAATGGCAATGTAAACAGTGACGGTGTCTGTGGGGGATGAGTAATAAAAGTAGGGATGAGACAAGGGCTGTGGAGTTGCATAATACATTCTCCCCACTCCATTCTCCCACAGCCACAAGAGTGGCTGTCTTCAACCAGCCCTGCTGAAAATGAAGAGGTGTTTTGCTGCTGAATAACTGTCATATGTATCTTGCTGGGTTTATGTTACACACTTAAATAAGCAGTCGCTTTGTGAGACTGCTTTTTCAAAGGCTCATTTGAACAAGTGCAAATTGCAAATCCGAGCCTGGCTTGGTACAACAAGGCTCTTCCTGCTATTAACTTTGAATGTGGCTTGAGTTGAATACCTTTCCCTTACTGGTACTACAAAGGTGTATTTGTATATGCTACCTTGCTAATAAGAAAATGAAATACAGCTTAGCAAGAACTCTGCATTCTTTTTGATGTGAAAAGTCACCAACCTGCCTGTTTGTAATACTCTTAAGGAGCTGGAAAGGCCCCTGGTACTTTTTTTAGTAATATTTGGGCCAAAATGCAAGAATCTCCTGAATTAGGGGTGAAGACCTCAGGCTCCTATCCCAGGTTTGTGTTGTGGGGTTTTGGTTTTTTTGTTTGGTTTGGATTTTTGGGGTTTTTTGCCTTTTGGCTGGATGAAAATTGACCATGATAGTTTTGTCATTATGCACAGGGGATTAGTACAGTGTGAAGCTTTTTGAGGCATGTGAAGGGTGCTGGGTGCCTCACAATTTAAGATTCAAATTTTTTTCATGGAGGAAGAAAGTGCTGGGAGAAAAAAAAAATGTTTGGAAAGCCAGAAGAAATATCTAGTGTGAGTTAGGATAAGCAGAGTGGAGAGAGCAAGGTCCCCAGGAGCTGTGTGAGTCAGAGCTACTCCCTGCCCCAGCCCCAAGCACAGTTTCCCAGCAAGTGGAGAGCTGTGCCAACTCTCTTCCTACTGGTAAGCTGGCCCAGTGGTGTGGCTGCTTGTGGTGGGAGGCCTTCTGACTGACACATTCAGGCTGCCTGGGAGGAAACGTGCTGGATGCTTTCAGTCCAAATGCATGGGTATTCTGCTCCATCAAAAGGAAAAGGCTAGTATCTGTAACTGTGTGTTTATTTTATTTCAAGCTTTGAACTTAAATCTTTCTCAGTATCCAACTTATATCCTTCCTGGCTGTTTAGCTTTCAATATTCCTATCATTCTTACTTGTGTGCTACAGAAAAATTAGTGGATTAAAAATGAAATTGTGGCTTTACTCATTGGCTATATTGCAGTTTGTAAGATTATGAGGTAGCTAAAATGAT